CATTCATGCGATTATGGAGTAGATGCCTACTAAAATGAAGACGTAGTAACCATAAATCTAAGCGAAAGAACTGTCCCTGAAGCAGATTCTTTTTGCCATGGCACATTCTTTTTCCCCCTTCTCAACTCCGAGGCAGGGAAATCGCCAGGCCCAAAACTTGCATAATCTCATGCCGTCACGCTTCCAAGTGTAAGATGCATTCCCTCCTTTTCAATCGCAAGTTCATACTGTGAGTGTACCTACCACATACATACATGCAGGGCTAAATCAAAGGTATTCATGTCCCCAGTGGAAGACCAGTGTTCCCAGAAAGCAATCATCTGGGTGCAGAAGAAATCCATCAGGAATTCAGGTGACTCTAGGTACCACCAACGTTGACCCACGCACAAAACTCTACACAAGACACATGTTTCGTCCATTTGCATGTTTTACTTTTATACATGCAATGTTTTTATTTCAGGGACTTCATATATGGCATATACACATCTGAACGGACATTGCAATCATATAACCGAATCATTAACAGGGTGTTAGAGCCTGAACTTTGAGCATCGGTCTGAATTCACAGTTTCACACACAGAATGGTAGCAACATCGGAAGCCTTTGGCTCACTTGAATTTGAACCAGAATTTTCCATATGAATATGCTCACAGCAGTAGTACCATGATACATCAGATCATCTACAGTCAGAAGTAATGCTAATTGTAATCTCCAGGAATCTTTGCAAACCAGACGCAAAGAAGATCTGCACGCTCGTTCTTCAGAAATAGGTCTCCGCTTACTTTGTATTGTATTCTAGAAAAGGGTCTTCAATTATTTCGTGCGATGGATCCATCAATCTTGCGCTCCCGACCTGACGATGAAGAGGACGGCCAGGCCGATGACGAGCGCCGTCACCACCAGCGCCAACGCCGGCGCCGGCGTTGCCACGCCGAAGTTCTGCAAAGCACGTCAGAGCGCTGTCAATAGTGAGCAACTAGCCCAGCAGAGCATGGCGTCACGGGTCGATCCATGGGAGCGTACATACCTCCACGAAGCCCTTGCCGGTGGACACCTCGGCGACGACCGCCGCGGCGAAGCTCATCATGGCCAGGCGGCTCGCCCACACGTCGACGACGCTGCCGCCGCCCGGCTTGCTGCTCTGCTCGCACCTCACGGACAGAGATGACGGCGCGGCCCTGGTGCTGACGCGTAGTAGGCAGACACCATGGTTGGGGCGGCGGCTAGAAGAGGCCGCGGGGACGGCCAGCGGAGACGAGCGTAGGATGGAGAAGAGCGCCATGAGATGGATGTGATGGCCTGCGCTCGCGTTCGCTTGTTGGTTTTGTGCTGCTGGCCTGAGCTAGCCGAAGTGAGTGGCCGTCGGTTGGCCGTTTGGACGTCGCTCTATCCACGGAAAAAATGATCGGACAGCGCACGCCTTGCAACTAATAAATCCAGAAACGTGATGTCCCTGGGCGCCGGCCGACCGGCGCCAGCTTTGGGCCGGTCGCCTCCCAGCTGTAAGATGTGTTTGATTTGGATGCGCTTGGCCGTCGGATTGGCACCTGGCTTTTTTCCCGGCACGCAAACACGCATCGCCGCCTCTCTCCTCGCTCACGGTAGTTGCGCAGTGCGTCGGCTCGTCGCCACCCACGCCTCCCACCGCCTCCCCTTGCAACATCGTGGCACCGTTTGCCGGCCCGACGGTTGCGGTGCCGGTGCTCGCATGGTCCGCCCCTTTGCAGCAAAACCAGCTGCCGGTCCTAGCAAATCAGCCTTGCGGTTCCAACATTCATTGTCGGTGTAGCGCCCCACCGTAGCCGTCGTCGAAGCCAGTTGCCGCAACGGTGGGTGCCGGTTCCAATATCCAGACACAGCGGTTGCAGCATCCCGGCGGGTCGTGGTCACCACTGGAAAAGCTTCGGGTAGTCGTGTTCCAGCATCTAGTGACCGTGGATTCATGGTTCCAGTTTTTGCCAACACGGTTGCAACACTTGTCAGCCGCCATCGTCGGGTACGACCACTATTGCAACATCCTCCCAGCCGGTTCAAGCATCCTGCAACTGCCGGTTGCAGCATACAGCCCCGCCACGGGTTGCAGCACGCCGCACCGACGGTCCCTAGCTCTATCATGGCCGGTTGCAGCATGCCCCCCCACACCGGCGGTCGCAACTTAGTTTGTCCCCACTGGCACCGACGCGACACGCACCCAAGGCATCGAACCACTTGTCGGTGTTGAACCTCCTGGATTCGCATCATCCTCCCATGGCCGCCGTCGTAACTCGTCGTCCCAGTGGCGAAAGAGGGCACGGCGCATGGATACAAGAGGTCATCCACGGCGGTCGAAGAGGAAATAAAGGGAAAGAGAAGGGAAGCGTTGAGGGGATAATGAATGGGTGGAGGAGATAATGGGAAGGAAGCGAGCGATGCATTGGGCCCAGAGCTGCGTGATGCACTGAGCGAGCAACCAACGGAAATCTCTCCCAATCGGCCGATTTAAAACAATTCCCAATCTTAAATGACTACACTTTCGGATAAATTCATACCATAATTTTTTACTAGAAGTAAATAAGATAATTTACAAAATTCATATAAACAATGTGAACAGTGCAACAAGATCCAATTGGGGAGTTGTGAACTTCTTCAGCTGTAAGGACATATAATGGCACCTGATGCGAAAACCCCATCATTCCCTCCTTTAGAATCCTCCTACTCTTTGCTGGGTTCAGAAAGTGGCTTCAACATAGACACAAAGCCAACAACTTCTACAGCCAAAAAACACTTCATGGCAAAGATGGACACTTGATATATTGATTCAAGCATTCCCTTAGGTATTGATAGCACATGCCACAACAATAGCAGGATGTCCAAAGTGTGATTGGCATTGGAATATTATGGCACGACACGACACATAGGGAGGTGGGTGAGGTTGGACCAATATTTGTCTGCAGAAGCCATTCACATTTGTCATAGAGGAACTTGAAGGGTTATCAACATTGACTTGGGGGTTATTCTCAAGGACTCGTCGTAAAGAACTAAAAGGCCAATCACTTAGTTGGCATTAAGAATCAGTAATGTATAGCAATTGTTTTCTAATCTTAGTTTTTGTTATCCTTTTGTGCAGGATTTTGTACGAGAGATGTCAGAGAAAGATCAGAAGATCAACTCATTAATAAATATGGGATTTTCTAAAGATGAAGCTAATATGGCTATTACATGATGTGGTATCAGTGCTTGTAAAATTGTTCCTTGATGTTCATTTTCCTATGGAAAAGGCTCCTTATGATATATATATGTGTTAAAATACTTAGGTGCGGATGCTGATCTCTCTATATTAGTTGATTCGATTAGTGCATCACAGGTTGCAGGCGATTTTAACTTACAAGGCCAACAGGTACTTTGTGGTTTGATGTACATTGGAATAAGAAAATGGTTTTGCTCCTTTAATTTGATGTAAGGGCACTGCAATATGTGTACATTTGGCAGGTTACGGGCATTACAATTAAAATCTTTAGAGGGAGAAAGAAAAAAAGAATGATGGTAGAGAGCAAGAAAAAGACGAAGCGGTATGGAGGTACAACACATGTCAATTTGGATTACAACCATGATTAACATCTATGCCTCTCCCAAAACCAATGGTTGGATTTACCTGCCCAATTATAGCCTACCATTAGTCAGATTGACCAAAATTGATCTTAAACACGATACTAGACCACCTTTTTCTACTATGAAAATGTGGGCAAAGCTCCCTGACGTGTATGGACGACCATATAAAGATTCCTGTATGAAATTCAACCCGAGTGCGTATGGATTCTAAGCATTTGTGTGCAACAACAAGGAGAAGAGCCTAGATCCATAATTTGCCAATTTAGAACACAACACCTCTTATTCCTTTGCCTCCAAAGGCCATATTTGAGGCATTCCCTCATTACAAGAAGCGGTGGCCTTCTTGGGACTCGGGAACGCAACCCAACTACTTGCGAACATGTTTGGCAAGTGTAAGGCTGATAGAACGGTTCAAGTGTGATCTTTACACCATGGGCAAGCCACCCTCAAAGTGTTCAAAGTTATTCCATCAATTAGTGCAAAAAGGAGAATCTTGTCTGGGTTGGAAAGAACAAGTGACTCCATTGGAGCCTCAAGAGATTGAATATCTAATCGGTTACTCAAAGGGCCACACAAGGGGAGGACGACTTATTCCAAGTTGATATTGTTTCTTACCACTTGTTGAGATATTGATTGAAGTATCCCCTTGGTACTAATAGTTCATGCCATAAGAATAGCAGGATGCACAAAATGTGTCTGGCATCAGAATATTATGGCATGGCACATTGGGAGGCGAGGCCGAGCCAGTATCTTGTCTTTAGAAGCCATTTACACTTGGTATAGAAGAACCAAAAGTGTTATCAACATCTACTAGCGAGTTATTCTAAAGGCCTTGTTGTAAGGAGCTGAAATGCCTGTCACTTAGTTGGCACTAAGATGTCAGTAATATATAGTAAGTGTTCTCTAATATTAGTTTTTGTTATACTTTTGTGCAGGATTTTGTACGAGAGATGTTAGAGAAGGACAAGAAGATCAACTCGTTAGTAGATAATGGACTTTTTTGTAGATGAAGTTAATATGGCTATTACAAGATGTAGTATCAGTCCTTTTAAAATTGTTGCCTTGATGTTCATTTTTCTAAGGAAAAGGCACCTTAAGATAATGGATCACGATTTTTCTACTATGAAAATGTGGCCCAAGCTCCTAGACGTGTATGGATGACCATTTTAAGATCTCAGTATCACATTCAACCTAAGTTTATGTGTTCTAAGCATTAGTGTGCGACAACAAGGAAAAAAAGGTACATCTATAATTTGCCAATTGAGAACAGAGCACATCTTCTTCCTCTGCCTCCAAAGCCCACATTTGAGGTATTCCTTCATTACAAGAAGCGGTGGCCTTCCCGGGACTCGGGAACGAAGCCCAAATGCTTGAGAAGAAGTGTGGCAAGTGTAAAGCTGATAGAACGGTTCAGGTGCGATCTTTACACCACGGGCAATCGAACGCCTCAAATTTTTTAAAAATATTCCATCAACCAGTGCAAAAAAGGAGAATCTTGTGTCTGGGTTGGAAAGAACAAAGTCCCTCAATTGGAGCCTCAAGAGATTGAATATCTGCTCGGTTTCCCAAAGGACCACACAAGGGGACGACAACTTATTCCAAGTTGATACTGTTGCTTACCACTTGTTGATAGATTGAAGTACCCCCTTGGGTATTAATAATTCATGCCGTAAGAATAGAAGGATGTCCAAAATGTGATTGGCATAAGAACATTATGTCACGACACATAGGGAGGTGAGGCCAGGCATGCATCTTATCTGCAGAAGCCATTCATACTTGGCATAGAGGAACTGGAAGTGTTATAAACATTTACTTGGGAGTTATTCTAAAGGACTCATCGTAAAGAGCTGAAATGCCAGTCACTTAGTTGGCACTAGGAAGTCAGTAATATATAGTAACTATTCTCTAATATTAGTTTTTTTCATACTTTTGTGCTGTTTTTTGTAGGAGAGATGTCAGAGAAGGACAAGAAGAACAACTCATTGGTAGATATTGGGATTTTTTTGAATATGAAGCTAATGTGGCTATTAAAAGATGTGGTATCAGTTCTTTTAAAATTGTTGCCTTGATATTCATTTTTCTATGGAAAAGGCACCTTAAGATAAGGGACCACCTTTCTTATATTATGAAAATGTAGCCCAAGCTTCCAGACATGTATGGACGACCATTTCAAGATCTTTGTATGGCATTCAACTTGAGTTTGTGGGTTCTAAGCATTCGTGTGCATAAGCAAGGAAAAAAGGCCACATCCATAATTTTCCAACCGAGAATACAAAACCTCTTCATCCACTGCCTCCAAAGGCCATTTTTGAGGCATTCCCTCATTACAGGAAGCACTGGCCTTCCCTGGACTCGAAAATCTAGCTCAACTTCTTGCAAAGAAAGTGTGGCAAGTGAAAAGCTGCCAGAATAGTTCAGGTGTGATCTTTCCAGCACGGGCAATCCACCGCCATGAAGTGTTCAAAATATGTCATCAACCAGTACAGAAAAGTGAATCTTGTCTGGGTTTTATAGAAGAAAGCTGCTCCATTGGAGCCTCAAGAAAATATCTACTCGGTTTCCCTAAGGACCACATAAGGGGGCGGCAACTCATTCCAAGTTGATAATGTTTCTTACCACTTGTTAATATATTGATTGAAGTATCCCCTTGTGAACTGATAGTTCATGCCACAAGAATAGCAGGATGTACGAAAT